AGACAGTCACCACCTCCCTCACTCTGTCACTAGTCACCACCTCCCTCACTGTGTCACCCCCTCCCTCTGTCACTGGTCACCCACTCCCTCCCTCACTCTGTCACTAGTAACCCCTTCCTTCCCTCTGTCACTAGTCACCCCTTCCCTCACTCTGTCACCTGTCACCCCCTCACTCTGTCACCCTCACTTAAGCACCTCACTTAGTCAGTTTCTCATTCCCCAAGTCATTCTTCCTCACTTCCAACACATTGTCACTCACTCTGTCAATAGTCACCCCTCACCCCAGTGACAGAGAGGGAGGGGTGACTAGTGACAGAGAGAGGGAGGGGTGACTAGTGACAGAGAGAGGGAGGGGTAGGACTAGGGTGTCACTAGTGACAGAGAGAGGGAGGGGGTGACTAGTGATAGTCACCACCTCCTTCACTCTGTCACTAGTCACCCCCTCCCTCACTCTGTCACTGTGTCACCCCCTCCCTCACTCTGTCACTAATCACCCCTCTGTCCTTAGTGACAGAGTGAGAGAGGGGGTGACTAGTGACATAGTGAGGAAGGGGGTGACTAGTGACATAGTGAGGGAGAGGGGTGAGGTGACTAGTGACATAGTGAGGAAGGGGGTGACTAGTGACATAGTGAGGGAGGGGGTGACTAGTGACAGAGTGAGAGAGGGGGTGACTAGTGACAGAGTGACTAGTCACAGAGTGAGGGAGGGGAGGGGGTGACTAGTGACAGTCACCACCTCCTTCACTCTGTCACTAGTCACCCCCTCCCTCACTCTGTCACTAGAGTGAGGGGGTGACTAGTGACAGAGTGAGGGGGTGACAGAGTGAGGGAAGGGGATGACTGGTGACAGAGTGAGGGAGGGGATGACATGTGACAGAGTGAGGGAGGGCGTGACTAGTGACAGAAGGAGGGAGGGAGTAGTGACAGTGAGGGAGGTGGTGACTAGTGACAGTCACCACCTCCCTCACTCTGTCACTAGTCACCCCTTCCTTCCCTCACTGTGCCACTAGTCACCCCTTCCCTCACTCTGCCACTAGTCACCCCTTCCCTCACTCTGTCACTAGTCACCCCCTCACTCTAGTGACAGAGTGAGGGAGTGACAGGTGACAGAGTGAGTGACTAGTGTCACCCCATCCCTCTGTCACTAGTCACTCCCTCCTAACTCTGTCACTGTGTCACCTGCTCCCTCACTCTGTCACTAGTCACCCCCTCCCTCACTCTGTCACTAATCACCCCCTCTGTCCTTAGTGACAGAGTGAGAGAGGGGGTGACTAGTGACAGAGAGGGAAGGGGTGACTGTCACTAGTCACCCCATCCCTCTGTCACTAGTCACTCCCTCCTAACTCTGTCACTGTGTCACCTGCTCCCTCACTCTGTCACTAATCACCCTCTCTGTTCTTAGTGAAAGAGTGAGAGAGGGGGTGACTAGTGACAGAGTGAGGAAGGAGGTGACATAGTGAGGGAGAGGGTGACTAGTGACATAGTGAGAGATGGGGTGACTAGTGACAGAGTGAGGGACGGGGTGACACAGTGACAGAGTGAGGGAGTGACTAGTGACAGAGAGAGGGATGGGGTGACTAGTGACAGAGAGAGGGATGGGGTGACTAGTGACAGAGAGAAGGATGGGGTGACTAGTGACAGAGTGAGGAAGGGGGTGACTAGGGAGAGAGGGGGTGATTAGTGACAGAGTGAGGGAGGGGGTGACACAGTGACAGAGTTAGGGAGGGAGTGACTAGTGACAGAGAGAGGGATGGGGTGACTAGTGACAGTCACCCCCCCCTCACTCTGTCACCAGTCATCCCCTCACTCTGTCACTAGTCACCCCTTCCCTCCCTCACTCTGCCACTAGTCACCCATTCCCTCACTCTGTCACTAGTCTCCCATTCCCTCACTCTGTCACTAGTCTCCCATTCCCTCCCTCTGTCACTAGTCTCCCCCTCTCCTTCCCTCTGTCACTAGTCACCCACTCCCTCACTCTGTCACCAGTCACCCCCACTCACTGTGTCTCCCCCTCACTCTGCCACCACTCAACCCCTCCCTCACTCTGCCACCAGGTACCTCCTCACTCTGCCACCTGTCACCTTCTCCCTCACACACTCTGTCACCTGTCACATATGCATTCACACAGACACTATATACAAAAAAGCACATGTAGTCATCCAGACATGCACAAGTGCATTCACACAGACTCAAATACAACCATGCATTGATACACAGGTCTTCACAATACACACATCCAAAGGAATGCCGTATTATGAATTACATTTAACATTTATTAAAATGCACATATATTTGGCCTTCAAAGGGCCTGGGATCTAATTTTGCCCGGGGGCCCCAAAGGCTCTCAGTCCGCCCCTGCTGGAGACCATATCTTCAGAAGGATATTGATACCTTAGAGAGAGTTTAGAGAAGGGCTACTAAACTGGTTCATGGATTGCAGGATAAAACTTACCAGATAAGGTTAAAGGATCTTAACATGTATAGCTTGGAGGAAAGACGAGACAGGGGGGATATGATAGAAACATATAACTGGTCTCCAGTAAAGGAGGAGACTATATTTAAAAGAAGAAAAACTACCACAACAAGAGGACATAGTCTTAAATTAGAGGGGCAAAGGTTTAAAAATAATATCAGGAAGCATTACTTTACTGAGAGGGTAGTGGATGCATGGAATAGCCTTCCAGCTGAAGTGGTAGAGGTTAACACAGTAAAGGAGTTTAAGCATGCGTGGGATGGGTATAAGGCTATTCTAACTATAAGATAAGGCCAGGGACTAATGAAAGTATTTAGAAAATTGGGCAGACTAGATGGGCCGTCACATTCTATGTTTCTATTCCTGGCACTAACAGTATCCCTTTAAATGCTCTGTTTTTATCTCAAGGGCTCTGTTTCTATCACAAATCAGCAGCCACAAGGTTAAAAAAAACATTACCAATACTGAATTATATTGGTACTGGATGAGTGGGTAGCGTGACAGATTTATAGCTCTGCTATTTGCATAATTTCTATAAGGAAGAGTAGATGTTAATATTGGGAAGGAGAAAATAAAGAACTGAGAAATAATATATGAACACTATGACCAGGAGCTTGGATTACTTGGCAGTAGAACAAAATAAAAGCATAGCAGGGCATGAGATAAAGGCAGAATGTACTCTTGATAGGCCAAGTGGTCTATATTTCATGTTACATTTAATATATTGATGTGCAAAACACGGTTCTAAACACAGGATAAATTAGAGGTAGCGCGGGATGCAGATACATTGTAAATCAACAAACAAACACCAGTGAATTCATGACAGCTGCTCCGAAACCAGAATTCGTACATAAAACATAAAGCTATATCTTCAAATTAAGCACAGAGTACAAAGAAACATCTCACAGCATCAAAGATAGCTTCTCAGAGAGCCATGCAAAGCACCCCATTTCAAACCAGATAAAGGCAAACTCTGTGCCTTATTATTTTTAGATAGTAACAGTCATCACAAACCTCACCAGAAAGTCGAGGTGAAGGTATATAATAAATTTCATTATCTTGTGCGTAATTTTATGTGTTTTCAGAAACATACTTTAAATTTGAAATCACCTTGCACACTGTCATGACTAACTGCAGCAATGTTATGTGATATACTGATAAACTCATTCTGTGGTATACTCATACACTCACACACACAGTTTTTTGAAAACGTTAATTTCTGTGGAGCTCTGCTACACAGTCATACATATATACTGACGAGACCCGATGATTGTCCAGGGTTGTTGTATCTCTCATGCAGAAGGAACTTGATGGCATTTCACATTTGGGCTGCCCTGGATTAGTCTAAAATACATATGGCATATATAACTGAAAGAGGACTATGTGCCAAGCCATGGCAATGGGAAGGGTGTAAACATGAAGGGGTTACTAACAACCAAGCTTCTGGATATCGTATCACTCTGAGTCTACAAGAGCAAAAAGTAACACCCAAAATCTACCTATACACTGCAGATTAACTCCGTTGTCAATACCCAAGAATGTTTAATAAGGGTGCCCTGGGGTACCTGAATGATGTTGCAGTTATACTTAAAGGGTTACTTTAATCACCATGACCACTTCAGTGATTTGAAGTGGTCATGGTGGTATGAGTATGCATAGGCAGCATTTCTGCTTGAAACATTGCACAAACAGAGAAATCTGCACTTTTGTGGTGGGGGCTAGCAAAACCCTAAACACACGTGACTTAGGCAGCTTGGAACCGTAAACTGCTCAATATCAATTCTGTGCAAAATGTACATCTGTCCTCAGCGCGGTATGTGAATTCAGATACTAAACTCAGCCCCCTTTGATCATGTGACCAGTTTATGATACCCGGACTCATCTCTTTGATCCGGAGATTGAGCTCCTCTCATGCACAGGAACTTAATGGCTTTTCAAGTCTGGACTATCCTTATGGGCGGGATGAGTTTGATGTGTAAAAAATCCTGAAACCTTCACTGTTGTGGAGCTATACTGTCAACTCCAAGTGTTTTACTGCTGTGGAGTTCTGTGATATAACCCAGGGCCGGTGCAAGGATTTTTGCCGCCCTAGGCAAAAGTAAAGTTTGCCGCCCCCCCCATGTGACATCACAATGCCCCACCCATATGATCTGCCATGTTAACTAACGCGAAGCTGCAGTGCCGCCGTGTTTACATTAAAAGGCCTGCAGGGACAGGCTATAGACACCAGAACCACTACATTAAGCTGAAGTGGTTCTGGGGACTAGAGATTAGTGCCACGAATAATATACTAGATTGCATACTTACAACCAGATGAGGATGATGATGGGCTCTAGCTGCAGTCTGGCTCCACTGGTCTGTTGTAGAACAGGCTCCCTGGAGGCTTTTTGTAACTGTGGTCACAAAAATCAGTGTTCTGGGAGAATGGGAAGCAGCTCCATTTTTTTAAGGCCATTTACACGGCTCAAGGTCTGGGTCCCAGGGTCCACTTTCATGTTCCACCAATGAGTTTATTCACAGGGGGTGGAGTAGGGGGATGTCCGGATATGTGTGTAAGGAATGCATTGTGTGAATCTGTGTTTGTATGTGTAAGGGCTGCAAGGTGTGCTTCTGTGTATGTACGGGATGCATTGAGTGTGTGCATCTGTAAGGGGTGCATTGAGTGTTTCTGTGTGTGTAAGGGATGCATTGTGTGTAAGGGTTGCATTGTTAATGTGTGTTTTTCTGTGTGCAAGGGGTGCATTGTCTTTGTGTGTAAGGGGTGCATTGTGTGTGTGATGGATGTCAATCTCTTCTCCCCCCTCTCCCTCCCTTGTCCCTCTCTTCTCCCCCTCCCTTGTCACTCTCTTCTCCCCTGCTTGTCACTCTCTTCTCCCCCGTTGTTACTCTCTTCTCCCCTCCCCACTCTCATTCCCCCATCATTTCCCCTCCCTGTCAATTTCTTCCCCCCCTGTCAATTTCCCCTCCTGTCAATCCCTGTCAATTCCCCACTCCCCTGTCAATTTACCCCCCTCTCATTCCCCTCCCAGTCAATTTACCCCCTGTCCATTTCCCTCCTGCCTTTCCCCTACCTGTCCATTTCTTCCCTCCCTGTCCATCCCCCCCATGTCAATTTCTCCCCGCCATGTCAATTTCTCCCCCTACCTCCCTGTAGCGTGGCCGAGCCCTGTATGGTCCGCGGGTACAGGGAGCTTTTGTTTCCTGTACCCGGCCGGACTAACAGGAAGTACACACTGAGTGTTCACTTCCTGTTAGTCCGGCCCGGTACAAGAGACATATGCTCCCTGTACCTGCGGACCATGATACAGGGCTCGGCCACGCTACAGGGAGGGAGTGACAGGAGGGAGCGCTGAGCGCTTCCCTCCTGTCAGCCCCTCTCCCTATGCTGCGCCTGGGCGGTGCGGTCCACCCTCATGGACGCACCGCCCGGGCAAAGCTGAAGCCGCCTGAGGCTCTCTACAGAGCGCTCGGGCAGCTGCAGCATGAGCGGGGCCGGCGCTCCTGGCGGCACCCCCTCCCAAGGGGCGCCCTAGGCGGCTGCCTAGTCCGCCTTACAGGTAGCGCCGGCCCTGCTTGCATCCCATGCACCCCCTTAGTTTACTCCTGAATCCAGGCGCCAAAAACATTTATGCATTTTATAGCATTTATTTAGGAGAGTGCTTTCTTCTTTAAAGGAATAGCCCGTTGTAGTAGTTATGGTGCCAGGATTGCCCTAACACGCTTTCAAAATAAGTAATTAAACTGTTTAAATGGACCCTCTAAGCACCAGAACCTCTATAGCTTAATTTAGTAGTTCTGGGGCAAAGAGATTGTCCCTACAGGCTCAGCAATGTAAAAAGTACCTTTTCTGTTAAAAGGTAGTGTTTACATTGCTTCCTAATACCACCTTGGTGGCAGTAACTTGGACTTTATGAATAAGTAGCTGCAAAGAATGTAGGATCGACAGCGTCTTCACTCTCTGCGCAGAGATGCTGAATGCTCTCCATAAAGATGCATTAAATCAATATATCTTTATGAGGAGAATCTGATAGACCAGGGGAGCTCAAAAAGTAGATCCCCGGATGTTGCAGAACTACAACTCTCATGATGTTTTGCATGCCTTTATAATGCTTAAGCATGACAAAGCATCATGGAGGCTGTATTTTTAAAATCTGGGGATCTACTTTTTGGGCACCCCCTGTGATAGACGTTCATGCACCAGGGCAGTCCTAACATCATAATCACTACAGTAGGCCGTAGTGGTTATGGTATTCGGAGGGTTTTTTAAGACAACATTTCCAAATGTAGGGCCTTTTCTACCTTGGAAATATGTGCCCTTTTCAAACTAAATTCTAAGATATAACTAATACAATAAAATAATGTATATAGCTCATAAGAAGCATTA